TACTCTCTTAAAACAAAGAGAGACATGCACGAAGTTGAATTGGCAGTACAAGGTAAGTAGAATGTCGGACGATAGACTACCAGCCATGGTTGACAAGGCAGCTTGGGGAAAAGCGACTCCAGGGAAGAAGGGAATCAGATGGGACAAGGTGGTAGAGAAGGTTTGGAAGGAGATAGGAGACGAGGAGGAGACGTTGGACACCGAAGGGTTCGGGGGGTTCAAGACGAAAGTCAAGGAGATGCTAGAAAGTAGGGAGGAGGCAACCCTTCGGAAGAAGGTACGAGGCGAAGACCACTTGGAGATATACGGGAAGTTGAAAGAAGAGATAGGGATGAAGACGTACTTGGACGGCCCCATGGACTACGCGAAAAAGCTGAAATTGCAATTTCGAGTAGGCGATCTGGACTTGCCAGAACGGAGGACGAGGTATACCAGCCGTAGGAGAGAGGAAGAGGAGGATAGACACACATGTCCATGTGGCAAATCGGAGGAGAGCAGACCCCACATAGTTGGGGAGTGTGAGTTGTACAGGAAGGAAAGAGAGGATCTCGAGGAGGAAATGAGACAGAGAGGGTGTGACATGGACAAGTTTGGTAAACTAGACAACAGCGAAAAAACGATCGCGATAATTGGGGATAGATGGTGGGCACAAGAGGCCCTAGAGGACGGGGATAAGATGTGCAAGAAACTGTTATGGAGTTTGTGGCAGAAACGTAAAGAGCTCCCAAATGTTGGTGGTGTCTTTAGTAGGGGTAGGAACGGTGCTCCGTCTCGAAAGGGACGCGTGGTCAATGGTCAAATGACCGGCAAGCAACAAATGAGTACGCCGCCCCCTCATCCGTCTTTGCGTGTTGTACCCTCTACGGCGGCGTCGGTCGACGGCGCCATCGTGCTCCGCTAGTCCGCGCATGTTGGGTACGGTTGGATTCAGGAGAAAATATCGCTTAGACGAACTTCAGGTCGGTTGCCAAGACCCAGGACCTCTTCGAACATGTGGTCCCCACCACCGAACCCGTTCCCTTTTTCTTTTCACCACCACGAAGAGGAGAGAGAGCCGTGCGATTTTCCGTTTCTATACCGTACGCGCCTGCAGTTTCTCGAACGATACTAAATAGACTATGCAGACGGGCAATGGGGGTCCTCGCTGTGAACCAAAAAAGTTGTTATGAAGTTACCCTTGTGAGGCTAGCCGCGCCGCCCAGCGCCCAATGACCTCCTTTCCACACGGGGGTGATGGCGATGGGGCCCTGTTTCGTACTTATCGCTTCTTTGCTTTGCTTCAACAATGTATAAGTTCCAACTTTGCAACCGAACCGTGGTGCTCAGGTCACCTCATCGTCAGGGCGAGTAGTTTCTCTACTACGGCATTGTTTAGAATTGGCGCAGAATGTACAGCAAACGGGAATCGAATGTTCTACTGTAGACTTACGACGAGGTCGATCAGATACGTAACATGTACGTTCGACTCGGTTTCGTGGTTTTTTTCATGTGCAGGGACCTTCTTTGACTCCAACCACGCGTAAGGGTTCCGTTGTGTAGGGTCAGCCTGCCTGTCGCCAAACCCAATGGCACCATAGTACGCACACATTCTTTCTTAATTCAGATTGCCTGCGGAGGTATTTGCTGCCACCTGTACTCACTTGACGGTGCGGTGAGATAGGTGCCGTGAGATACATGTTTCAAAACAGACTCTTTTCTATGATGGAGATGGCTTCGTGGTGTCATATTAAGAAAAAAAAAAAAAAATCCGTGTGGCACCTTCCGTGAGACGCCAATGCCCCGAACGTGTGTGAGGACACACGAATTGAAGAAAAGCCCTCCTCGGCCAGGTCGTCCCTCGTTGAAAGCGAGAATCTCTCACCCCAATACAGCAATACCTTGCCAGTTGTTCCAGTGTTCCGGTGCATCCTATGTAGGATACCGACCCTCAGGGTGACGAGCTCCGGAGGTACCTGTGTGTATGAATCAGATTCTGCGGACCCCCCATACGGCAGGGCACCACTGGAGAAGTTTGCGATGTTCCGGCGCCGCTGTGCCGCGCTCTCCATCGGCACGTTGCCCGTGTTGCCACGTGGGGTACAAAGCGCTTGCGGCAGAGTCTCGACAGAATCAGGTTCACCATCACCTCCAGCAGGTTTAGCTGGCGCAACGGACGCGGACGACCTTTACTGCGCTGTGACTGGGGTAAAAAGGACAAGTTCTCGTAGGTAGAGCCTGGGCCTGCGGTTGCGACTGGCGTTCGCTGAGGCTGGCCAGCTCATTGTCAGCAGCTCTTGGAGTCTAAGGACGGAGGGGACGTTGTCTTTGATTTGCATTTCCGCGAAGCTTAAAGGCGATCGCGCACGGCAGCTGCAACCATGATGGGCGAAAGCGTGGCCGAGTGGCCTCTCTGCATGCGGATCGTGCTGTCTCCGCTCCTCCTCCTGTGGTTCGGCACGAGAGTCTACGTCTTGCCCTGCATCGGGGTGGCGATGCAAAGGATGCTCAGGTGCTGCTGCCGCGGCTTCTTGCGGCACGTGTGCTGCGGGTGTGGACTTACCTTCACGGATACGGTGAGGCTTCTTTCCCCCGCTCTCAAAGTATGTATTGCCAATGGTTCGCAAAGTGCGAATGCTTCGAACAGCCAGCGTAGGCACACAACTTCAACGTGGCCGCAGCAGTTGACTGATGATGCGCGTCCTGCCTTTTTTGGTAAGAGCTGCACTCGAGGAAGCCCTCCCACGACATATATATCAGCAGTCAGCCATAGTCGAATTACTCTCGTGCTTGCGAGCGACGTCTCCGACGTCCTACACAATACACAAACACACCCAAACCCACGCAGGCAGCATGTTGCGGGTCAACTTTCGAATTTCGAATTTTTTTGTTCTGCTGTCATCGAGGGAACGCGAGAAGGGCGAGGCGAGCAGTGGCTTGTACGCGGCAAATAGTCAGAACTCCGGTGATGTCCTGGCTGATGTTCCTCTGGCGCCGGGGACAGATACGACTGGACCCGCCGTAGTCGAATTTCAGCCCGCCACTTCTGTTCTCACCAACTGGGAGATTTAACGAGAGCACACACACCCGCGCCAAGGTCATGCAACCCTTGCCCACCTACTGCTGTGACTCGGTGGTAGACATCGAGCATGACTATTCAGCCGGCCAAGCGTCACCGCTGCCGCCGCCTGGGCCGAGGCCGCCGCTACTGTTGCCGCTCCCTGTGGCACTGCTCGAGCCGGTGCCGCCGCTCCCACCGCCGCCGGTCGGGCCGGGGGCCGGCGCTGCCCTAGCCGCTCGCGCGGTCGATGCCGGTCGTCCCACCGCCGTTCACGCTGCTGCCGCCTGCGGCCCGCGATGCTGCCCCGCCTGCCGCAGGAATGGCTCCCCCGTTGTACGTAGGCACGAGGTCGAAGAACGGCTTGCACCGGTAGAAGCCCCAAACGAAGTCCGTGGTGTACCCCGTAACTCCGGAGGGGTAAATGACGTTGTAGCAGTCCCGCGAGTGCGATTCGCCGGGGTTGAGGTAGAAGCATCGCTCTCCCTTCGGCTCTCGATCTTGACGGCAGTGCGCCCGTGGTGGTTAGCGTCATTTGCTCCTCTGTCTCCTCTGCCTTTATGTAAAATGTGTTTTATTTTATTTTGTCGTTACAGTATTGCCAATGAAACATCCTTTTCTAGTCATGCAACCGCAATCTCGTTTTACCGAGTGATGACACCGTCACCCTTCAATACTCACAATTAGTATTAACATCGCAGTAAACCTGCATCGTGTTCACGGCCAGAACGGCCGGGCAAGGACCTGGATCAGAGCTGCACTTGGAAAATCAAGAAGGACGACATCGTCAATGAGGTCAATCACGATGTCGTCCTCCTTGATTTTTCCCGTACGCCCTGATCAGGTTCTTGCCCGGAAGTTCCGGCCGTGAACGCGATGCAGATTTACTGCAATGCTTCTACAAACTGTCAACATTGAAGGGCGACGGTGTAAAGACTAGGGTAAATGATTTTGGTTGCCCGATTAGGTCGTGTTTTTATATGCAAATAAGACAATAAAGAAAATGAAGCACACATCCAGAAGAACAGACGACCCTAAGCACCACGCGCACATTGCCACCAAGACCGAGCCGAAGGGAGAGCGATGCTTCTACCTCAACCCCGGCGAATCGCACTCGCGCGACTGCTACAAGGCGATCTACCCCTGCGGGGTACACCGCGGGCGACGTTAGGGCTTCCACGGGTGCTCGCCACCTCGTGCCGACGTACAACGGGGGCACCATTTCTGCGGCTGGTGCGGCAGCAGCGGGAACGGCGATGGGACGACCGGCATCGACGGCGCGAGCGGCGACGGCAGCGGTGGCCCCGGCCCGACCGGTGGCGGTGGGAGCAGCGTCACCGGGAGCGGCAACGATATCGGCGGCGTCGGCCCGAGCGGCGGCTGCGGCGTTGTGTTTTGCCCAGCGCAACGGGGAAAACCTTTCGTGTGGGAAGCGGTTTTGGAGTGTTTTTGAATGCAAGGCAGAGTTCCCTTCGGCGTCGTGGCATTGAGTTGAACGTCAACGAGCAATGCCGCGTTACCCAGGCTGAGACATCGCGATGAATATACCCAAAGTACGAATTATTTCGTGTAGCCGATCAGCTCCAAAGAGATTGTGGCGCTCTTGCAGTACGGTCGATCTCATGCAAAGAATTGTTTGTTTCATTTGGCGTCCTCATAAATATCGTTGCAACGCCACGAGCAACCCTTTATCTATCAAGCCTACGCCACGTGTCCGGGCAATCGTCGACCATCGTACTCGCTCTCGCCATGATCCACACTCGTTGTTGTCAAGATCCATCGTAAGTGGTTCGCCCTAGTTATTTTCTAAAGAGTTCGAGCACCCCGCTTTGTGCGTCGAAATATTGGATGTTTTGCTCATTCCACTTGTTGATTCCGCCGTCTGGTCTTCTCCCATCCCACTCTGCCACACGAGTCGGGGCTCCCTCCACACCTATGCTTTAAAATGTGCATACCGCACCGATGTTTTGCAAGTTTACACGATATGTGCCTCAATGACCTTCGCAAGCAGAGCTTCCCTGCCACGGACAAGTCGATCGGGAAGGAGCTGACCCACAAGTTTAAGGCGGCTGGCGGCGGGGTGGAGTGGAAGCGTGCTGACCTGATAAAGGCCCGCGATGATGACGAGCCGTTTCACCTCTTCAACAAGGTATGTAATCCGTGTGTTTGCATGGTATATACGTAGTGGGAATTGTTTTCTTGTGCGATTTTCGAGACGGCCGCGCAGGGGGGGGGGCGTGATCGGGAGGACAGACACGCAGGCCGTGGTGTTAGGGCGTTCGCCAGGCTCGCACAACCTCTGGGGTGAACTAAGAATTGGTGTTCGTGCTTTTATCCATGTTCTCGCCGTTGTGCTGCCCGCAGAGGATCATGGAGTCCCTATTTCTTCTGACGTGCTTGTTTAAATCTATGTTCACGACGACGAGGTTTTACATCTACTGTCTTCCTTCACAATCCACAGCAGTTGGTTGTTGCTGGGTAAGTCGTTCGAGCCCAACCAAGCGCCAAGATAGGAGAATTGCGGCTGCAGGGAACATTCTCTGTTTCCAACAGTTTGGCGAGTTGAGGTTCATTTTGTCGAGAAGTGTTCGCGTCGCTCGCCTTCGATCAAACACGAAACCCACCTACGCTTCCTCTCTGTACCCCCTGTCTCTTCTCCCCTGTCGAACTCCCTGCTGATACAGGGCGTTAAGGCCGAAGACGTCAAGCAGGGGGCTCTGGGCGACTGCTGGCTGGTTGCTGCGATGGCGACCCTGGCCGGCACCATGCCTGGCGCCATCAAGAAGCTCTTTGGCAACAGCGAACGCTCCTACAGGCAAGCAAGAATTGGGAAATGTGCGGGGAGGTGGGGTTGACGCTGCGTGCCTATTTAGCTGTGAGGTTTGTGGTTGTTCGCCTCTATGCCTGCGAGGCCTTGTGACAAGGGGGTGCTGCTGTTGTGACTCGGCTAATGCATGCATGTCGGAGAAAATGTTGTATCATGTTGCTGTCACGACCCCCCTCCCGTATTGAACCTTGTTTGTCTTTATAGGGTCGAGGTGGACGCCTCCTAGCGCTTGACTTCGTGTTGCATATGTGGGCTCTACTCCGGTTGCCATGTGTAAAATGTTCTTGGGTTCCCTTGGGGTGCTTCCTAGGTTCCCTTCCGTCAGTATGTACGAGTTTCACAAAAACGAAATGACGACGTGTGATCAACGCAACGCCTGTTTTGTCTTTGTGTGCGTGTTTGATCTTGTGCCTTTCTGTTGTTGTGAAGGGGCAAGTACAAGGTGCGCCTCTTCGACATCACGCAGGACAGGTGGAGGACCATCACGGTAGACGACAACATCCCGACCAGGCACGGAAATCCCATCTTCGCAAAGCCCAACGGGAAGGAGCTGTGGGTCGTACTCCTCGAGAAGGCCGTCGCCAAGTAAGCATGCACGATTCGATTCGGGACATGTTCCATGTCTCCCCATGTTGATTGCGGTGAAATGGTGCTGTTGCGTACAGCCACACAGCCCCAAGCTTCTTCCCTGCCGGGGACAATTTCGATTGTATATGTTTGGCAGCAGTGGTCGTGGTGATTGATGGGCTGGTGTTGATGGCGATGTTGTTGTAGCTGCTCCTGCCGTGATCTCTTGAGTGTTCCGTCATTTTTTCCGGTGTTTTTTCGCGGGCGTTAAGCCGACTGTAGTACATGGCTTTATCGAACTTGATCATATTCGATAACTCGTACAGGCAGCATCTCGCTTCCCCCCCCCCCCGAGATCTGCGTCCCTTTCAAGTTCTCAGTAGGCACGAAAGGAGCGGCGCGAGGGCCGTTCTGATGCTGTTGCTGTTGTTGGCTGTCGACGCCTGTTTGTTCACGTTGATGTTGGAAGTTTTTTTTAGGGTAGCTTGGTGGGTTGTGGCAAGAGTTAACCGAATCGTTGGCTCTTTTTTGTTGGTTTCTTGGCAGGTTCTGCGGCAGCTACTCGAACATCGCCGGAGGGTTCGAGGCCTGGGGGCTCAAGGTTCTGACGGGGAACCACGTGTGGACGTTCAGGTGACTTCGTGCAACTGCTGCTCTGTAGGCCATTCCCCTCACTGTTGTTGATGCAGGTGAAACGAGAACTATGTTCCTAGCGAACCGTTAGATTTTGTCTTGTGACTTTTTTTTATTTTTTAACCTCCGTGACCCCGGCCGACACGTCAAATGTGTACCAAAAGGAGAAGCCCCGTTAGTAGATGGGCCGACAACAACAATAACAATGACGGCAAAGGCGTAGACAACGGCAGTAGCAGCAACAGCCACAACAACTCAACACTTCTGCACCAAGTTTTGACTTCGTTTATGATGACGGAAACTTGTTGGTTTTGTTTTTGAACGGTATGAAAAGGAGGAGGTACTAAACACGGATCAACGACTGTCAACTGTTATGACGATAACAGGCGGAGAAAATCAACTTTTGCCCAATCATTTTGCCTTGTTCCCGGCTGCTACCGTGAAGGGCAACGTTCCGATAACAATGGTATGCTTGTCAAGGTCCGGGTTGGCGTATGTTTACTCCACTGGTACCTGTGTGTGTGTGTGTGTGTGTGTGTGTGTGTGTATTTTATTTTTTGCATCGACCGCGCTAACCGGCTGACCAATGAAAAGACGTCAGTCTTAGTGCTGTTGAAAACACAAAAATACTTCGAAATGCCACTAACTGGGGCCCCGTGTGTGTGTTTGCCATACGTACGATAGGCGCTTGAAATCGGCTCGACCGGGAAAGCCTGGTCAGTGGAGGCGTTACGAGTTTCTGTTCAAGCCCTCCGCGGACAACAAGCGCGACGCCTCCAGCGTCGGCACCGAGGAGGTCCACGAGAGGTGAGAAGGTTGCAACGATAGGCTGCGCTCTGCGTGTCTGTCGCATGCGTTGTGAATGATCTTCATGGCGTCGTACGAACGTTTGGTTGCAAGTACATATGAAGTAACGTTTGATGTTTAGAGGGTACGCATATGACTAGGGTGAATAATACGCGTGGCATTTAACTGTTTCAAGGAGGTAAGAGTTAGGCGTTGTACGTAAGTGCCGGGTGACAAGTGCGTGTGCCTTTCACGCCGTGTGTTGGCGCCAGCCTGCCGTTCCGTCAACAGCGGTGGTGGCTGGAATCGGCATTTTGAGCAGTGACGTAGCAGAGAAGCGACAAGCAGTGTCGCGCCAAGGTTTCGTTCCGGGATGCCTGTGTCAGTGTTCGGGTGTCGTTTCACTACTGGCGTTGCTGCTGGATTGGTGTCACAGTTTGAGCCGGCCTCTAGGTACGTGTTCTGGAGTTTGCCGAACTCTGGATCCTACCGCCCCGCAAAAGAAACATGGCAAAGGAACAAAGAAATACACAGTATCGCACGATCTTTGTCCATCCCCGATGCGATGGCTTGGTCGCAAGCCGAGAACTGCTGTTTGGTGCATGTGGGCTTTAATAATTTGTCGGGGCCTCCTTTTCCGCCCAATACTCGGTGTGTTTCGTGATTTGTATGCTTCGTGCGCGTGTTCTCTGACCTCCTCGCACCACAACGCAAACGTGCACACATGACGCAGCGACAAGTTTTGGGGGGTGCTGCTGACGTACGCGCAAGGTCGCAAGGGCGCCATGTGCTGCAGCATCACGGGCCCCGTGGTAAGCTCTTCTTGCCTTGAGGTAGCGGCTGCAGCTAGCAGCATGCAGTACGCTACCTCGTGATGGCACTGCCGATGGCAGTGACAACAGGGGTAGTGGTTCTGCCAGCGAAACCGCGCTAGTGGTGGCAAGCCGACAAGTGCCTCGTGTAGCCATTTGGGAGTTGCTGATTCGGAAATTTCGTGGCTTCCGAGAATAGGACGTGGTACACACGTGCATGCGTACATACGTTGACATCGAAACCTACCGGTGGGTGCCGCATTGTTGCACCCGAGCACGTGGAGTTGATGGGCTGGGCGAGAAAAGCATCGGCTCATGTGTAGCTAGACGTAACCGCTGCTGCCGTAGCGCCTAGGCTCTTTGCAGGTGCCAAAACGTATCATCGTTGGCATGTAGCCTATAAAAAGGGCGAAGCGCTTTAGGCATTGGAGTTCACACGGATGTATTTTACCTGCCCGTTGCTGTCCCTCAGTCGGAGAGAGTGCGCAAGGACGGGTTAATCGAGAACCACGCGTACTCCATCATGAGGGCCATCGACATGCACGGGGAGCAGCTCATTCAGATTCGCAACCCGTGGGTGAGACGAAAAATATTTTGGCGTGAACATTCTCCGTTGGTTTGATTCGCTGCCGTGACGACGGGTAGATACCGTGGGCGAGATCGTTTGTTGAAGCCGAGCCGAAACTAGAACAAAAGGAGAGGGAGGGGTGTGGATCGCGGTTGGTTTGATTGTCTACCGTGCCTAGCGGGTAGGCGAAAACATGGCAGGAAGGCAAGTTGATTGAATTGATTTGGACGTACCGGTTTCTGATAGTAGACATTTACCCTTCCCTGGGCTACAGCGTACTCCTTACGTTCGGCCGCCCGTAGTTGGTGGTTGTGTTCGTCACTGCCACAGTTGCAGGTTTTTAGACTTTTCGCTTCTGGTTGGTTGTATTTGCCATTGTCGCACGTCACGCGCGCTATGTACTGTTTTGTTCGGGCTATTCATGTGCGACTATTTAGTGTTTTTAACGGACCCGAAAAAGTTCTGGGTAAAAGAATTTTGAGTCTCTGGAGTTTGAACGGGGGTGGCGTCCTGTATCGACTTCGCATCGAACCTTGTTATGTAGCCTTTCCTATTGATGTGTGGATTCTGTTGAAATCGTTCATGTTCTCACTGTTTAGTTCGGACGTCGTTGGCTACTACTCTTATTGCTTGATAGCAAGCGTGGACATACATCCGTGGCATCTGTGTTGGTTGTGTCGTCGTCTGTGAATATGTGTGTTTTTGCACCGTGTCTATTGTTGTATGAATGTACAAGGATGGACTCCCTTGTTACTTGCTTTTTTTAGGCGTGCACCGAAGGGTGACAAACCCGGTCGCTTGGTGCAGGCTCTATCTAGAGACTCAAACCGAGCGAAAGAGAAAACTCTAAGCTGGGGTTGTCCTCAATGCTTCCTGTTTCATGACGTTCTGCTGTGTTTTTGCTTCTCTTCCTCTCCCAGGGCAAGAAGGGGGAGTGGAAGGGGCGCTGGGCGGACGGCACATCGGAGTGGAAGACTTCCCCGCTCATCAGTGTGAGTGCGCGGCACGGCTGCGGTTTTCCATAACCGTTGCAGTGTGGAGTTTGACTGGGGCGATACCCCCTTCATAAGATTCCGTCTTCGTAGCCATCCCGTGATCGGGCTCTCACCCACCTACGTGGGCGTTGTGATGGGGGAGTAGAGGAGAATATTGACTGCCCCCCCATGCCTTGTCCACTCTTTGAGGCTTGCTGGCCGTTCCCGCAGGACTGAAAACGACAGACAATGCATTCATGTCTGCTTCATGGGTTCGTCTCTCTTGTGCCAATAGCATTTCGGTACAGTATCGAATTTGGTTCTGGTGCTGAATTGTCGCTGGTTGTTGTTGTCGTGTGCCGATGTCAGCATTGCTCACGTTTCCCTCTTACTACAGGTGTGGCAGCGCTTCGGCTTAAAAACGTTGCCTAACTCCCGTGTTTCCCCCCCCCCTCTCTGTGGGTGACATTTGGCTCTGTACCCTAGGTCGCCGTGGGGCACGAGAACAACGACAACGACGGTACATTCTGGATGTGCTGGGAAGACTTCCGTGAGGTGACTCTTTTTTTTGTTCTGCTTGCTGTCCGATCGTTGTTTGTGTTATGCCAGGTCATTGCAAATTCTGGAACAATCTTTGTTGCTTGAAATCTGTTCGCAGATCAGATCGGTGGTACTTTTCGAGGGTGTTCCCTCATAGCTTCACCCGTTCATGTCCGAAAAGGTTCGATTTGTTGATGTTCTGTCGAAAAGTGTCAACCCGCACAAACGTTGTCGTTACATAACCCTAGAGTCCGGAAAAATTGTTAATTCCCACATGTAGTCCAGGCTGCACACGACCACCCTTGTCGCCGGTAATGTGCGAGAACGCATGAATGTCTTCCTGTTCGCCACGGATGTTCATGGACGCGAACGAGTTGCGTGTTTCGGGGACCGGTATCTGTCCAATCTAGCAGCGACGCACGCACGCCCCGTGCGAGCTTTCAGCGCTCAGATTTCCGGTTTTTCCACTGCTGTGTTGTGTTGGACCACACCGCACCCGAGATATGCTTGTACCTTGTACTGTGCCTGTACACGCACGAGAGTTTGTTGTTTTTTTAGGATCGCCGCGCCCTTTCAATCTGACGGCCACGCTCGCCATCTTTGCAAGATTACGGAGCCCCAACTGCTGCGACGTGTTCCACCACACGCCCGATCCGACCCGACCGCAGGTATGGATGGAGATCACAATCTGCTCGCGCAGCACCGACGCCTCGGACCTCGCCCTCGACGTTCACGAAGACCTGGGGTGCCCCGGCCCGTGCGTCGGTTGCCTGGGCGGATGCTTTGGGTACTGGTGCCTCTGCCGGGGGTGCAAGCACGTCATCTGCCCCACGAAGAGCAAGGAGACCACCCGCAAGGGGAGGAAGTGCACCGGCCTCATCTGCTGCGTCTGATTGGCCCGGGAGAGAGGGTCTGATTGGCGTGGGAGATGGCATCTGATTGGCCGGGGAAAGAGAGAGCGTCGGTACTGCTTCTGATTGGCCCAGGAGAGGGCGTCGTCGCTTCTTCTATTGGCGATGGCGCAGGAGGGAGCGTCATCGCTGCCTCTGATTGGCCCTGGAGAAATCGTCTGATTGGCCCGGAGAGAGCGTCATCACCGCGTCTGATTGACCAGGGAGAGAGCGTCGTCGCTGCGTCTGATTTGCCCGGGTGGACATGTCATCTAGGATTTTATATCTGTGTCCCCGTTTGTTGTTAGGCACTACTTAAGGATGTCCGGCTGGGTCCCACTCCCAACAGCGGTGTGCCGCGAGGTTTAGTATCGTCCCTGGCGTCCAGAGTAGTTGGAAGTGGGATGGGAAGTAGATAGGACGACTGTTATTTTCGGAGGTTAATTAGTGTTGAGGAGGCAATAAGTTGCACGTGTCAGTTTGCGCGCCGCTCGCCGTACGTTGCCCGTGATCAAGACTATGCATACAAATAAACTGGTTTGTGTCTTGCAAGGTGGCAAGGACTTGGCCGAATGACATGATACCGTGTATGAAATGAATAGCTGGCACATATGCATATGAATCGTGTCGTTGCGTTATCGTGTTTGTGGCAGTAGTGCCGGTATGTAGCGTTTGTCCTTCCCTTGATCGTCATCGTGTGGTTGTATAGTTGGTAGCATCTCGTCGGTCTCGATAGCTGTATGTTTTTGTCTAAGTTCTCTGTTTTTGATGGCCATGCTTGCGGCGATTTTTTTTTTTTTGCTTCATCCGAGATGGGGAGGCAACGAGAGCAGATCTTCATTTGTTGCTGCTGCTCTTTCGATGTGGTTTTGTCCCTCCGCTTTAGCCAGGGATGCGTGTCAGCCGGACTGCTTTCTTGCTGGATCGGCTTTTTGTGCTGTGCCCTATTCTGATTTCTGGTCGTGGCAATTTGGTCACCAACACGCAAACCACACATTCGCCAAAATAGTGTCAATCGTATGTAATTTAATCAATGTTTTTTGCGTCGGGTCGGCGGATATTTTGGGGCAGGCTTGTAGGTATTTGGATCAGGTCTCCCCACGACGTTTCGGCGTCTGGCCAAGCTTTTGAGGATTTATGCGATGTGTCAGCACGAGAAATCCAAACGGACTTCTCCCCTCGTAGCTGATCTGCTGGGTGCTTCTTGGACGGGATGCTGCCCACTTGGATAAGTACAAATTTATCCGTATACCGGTTTTTGACCCCTTGTTCCAGTTGTCGTGTTCCGTGCGGTGCTGTGCACGGGAGAGCGTGGACACAGGGTCTTGCGCTCCCCGTCACTCCGACGTTGACCCTGACTCTCTCGGACGCCAAGACAAAAAGAGATCGAAGGTTCCGTGTATTAAGAGGGGGGAAGCATCGAACTCATTCGATTCGTCAACCGATAGGTCTCAATCTACTCAATACGACTACTCGCCGCTCCCTTCGACCGAGGCCCCCAGTTTGTGAGCCGATTTGAAGCCTATATATATGAACCTATATATATGAAAAGTATTTTTTCGCCCTTCACGAGCAGGCCACCTACTACTACACGCTCATTACACCCATCCATGCGGTTCATTCCTTCCTACAATCGTAATAATTGTTTGGGCGATGATAGAGACTTGTCTCAGGATGTGAATAGTGGACGTGTATTTCTACTCAGCACGCGAATGAACACCACGATTTCCATTTTCCGGACCCAGTGCGGTTCTGAACCGCAAGTTGAGGGGGCTTGGTACTGGTCTGGCGTGTTGGTTTGGTTGCCCACACGAGTAGGCAGCCGGCCACGAGCTTTTCGCCGGATAGGATATTCAACAGCTCTGTTTTTCAATGATTTCGATTGGTCGGGATTCTATGGCCGCCGAACCTTTGTCCCATATGAACAGCCTCCTCCACTGTTGTATAGTTGTGTGATGCATCAGTTCGGTTCAACCCACCCGTCGTTTCCGTTTTTAACAGTGCAGGATAGGCGACTGGAGCGGCAGGATAAGAAGTCGATTCAGCACGCCATGTACGGGTAGCGGTGGCGTCGCAAGTTCTTTGTTGGGGCTTGGCGACGCTCTGGTTGAGGAATACAACAAACACGACTGTTCCCGATGGTGGCGAGATGAGGGTGGAGCTTTTGCGTCAGCTGCTGGGCATACAGTACACACATGGCTCAATTGGGTGGATTCACTACATGGTACGAATTACTAAGGAACGCCGCGTTCATAAATGCACCTACAGGCATTCCTCTCCCCTCTGGATCATCCCGGGGAGATTGCGTTGAAAGTGTGTACACAAAGCTTGGTCTTTGGAAGGGTGTCCTTCCTGTCATTACCTCACCCCGCCGCGCGACAAAATACGCGCCCGGATGGGGGTATCGATGTAGTACCGATGGTCGAATGGACGGCCTATATTTGAGCCCAACGATGCCGCCGGTGCCTGAGAGAGTCGCTTCCACCATCAACTACAACCCCCCGCCCGCGGTGTCCATATTAACCAGTCCTTCGTATCGAACAGCCCACGTGTTACTACAAGTTCCATCGCTACCGTCTTTCAATCAATGCGTCCCATACTCCCTGCTACTTCTCCGCCGCTCCTCCTCCTCGGCGCCCCGCCCTCTCCCACCCCCGGCAGCGCTACCGCCGACAACACCCCCCCGACTGAAGAGGCAGAACGCGGGCTCGGGGGCGCATTCGCCCTCTCCGCCTCCCTGCTTGCGGGTGCCCCGGCGCGACGTGGGTCTGGTAGCCATCTTGAAGCGGTCGATCAGCTCGGAGTGAGGTGCGGCCGCAACCGCGCCGCCGCCTGCAGCGGAAGGACAAGACGAGGCCTTCTCGCCGTCATGATGGCGTGGATGGAGAAGCCGATCGAACGGGTTACGCTCGCCCCCTCCTTGCTGCTGCCTCCGCGCCACCACCGCGCTGGCGGTGCTACTGCAGTCGTGTTTCGGCTCACTTGCAGCACCCGCAACGGCCGCCGCCGAAGCAGAATTAGGAGAGGAGAAGAACGGCGTGGCCCTTTCCGTCGATTCTGAAGAAAAGCACGAGCCTAGCCTCCCCGCCGTAGACCCTGACGACGGCCTTTTCTCCAAAAGCCGGCGCTCCTCTGAGTGGTGGTGGTGGCGGCCGACTCCCGCCCCGCCTCTGCTCCGCGGGAGGCCCCTAGACTGCTTCCTGGCCTGCCAGGGGGAGTGGTGGGAGTGAGACCGCTGTCGCGAGACCGGCGGCGTGCTGTGACTATCCTCCGCCACGCCGCTGCCGCCACCCTCTCCGACACCGTCTCCACTACCGACCTCGGCGGTATCGATCACCCCAGCTCCTGCCCCTGTCCCCGTGCTAAGGCCGGGCAGGACGGGTGCGTATGAAGCGGAAGAAGATGCCTTGAGGCTTAGTTGCGGTCGGTGCAAGGGTGCCGCGCTCCCGCCCCTGCCGTCCATGGTTAGGATTTCCACGTGTCCGGAGGTTGCTGCCACGGCCGGCGGTCCCGAGCCTGCAGCGTAGCAATTGGATTGGTGCGGTGACGCGGTTGAACCGCGAGGAGGCACGAGAAACACCTCTGGCTGCGCGTGATTATTGACACTTTTCTTTCCTGCTGGTCTGGCACTTTCTCGAAAGCTTGCGGCAGTGGCCATCATGTTGCCCAAGAATCCATCCGGTGCATTTCGATGGTCTTTCTGTGCGGGAGAAATATCACCGGCGATGGAGCATTCCGCTGAAGCATCCCCGTAGCTAGACGAGCAATCTCCGGAGGAGCATCTATCGCTAGTCGCGGTCGATCTTCGGTGAGGAGCAACAGATTGGCGCTGCTTATGACCCTTACCGCGACAAACCTTGTGAACGTGAGCGGCCGAAGCTTGGCCCGACGTATCATCGCCAGCAAGATCAACATCGCTACCGGCGCAGTGTGATTCGGCCGTTCCAGTGCAGCCATTTTCTTCGTCGCCTCCGACTCTTCGGCCACCTTCGTTTCCACTGCTGCTGCCACCGCCCTCCAACTTCCGCGAACATCCTCCGTTCTGATCGCGTTGCCAGCGTGCGTGCCTCGCTACACCGTTGTCGCTAGGGGTACCTCGCGGGCAGGTTGGGTTGTGTTTGTCGGATTGGAGGCCGTACGCGCTGAGCATTGCCCGCCCTCTAGCCGCCCCCCCGCTCCCTCCGGCCCATGCCCAGGCCTCTGGACTGTTCGAGCTCTTACCCCCTCGCCCCGTGCTTGCTCCGCCGCTGCGTGCCCGTTCAGAGGGACTCCGAGCTGTCGTCACCGATGTTGCCCCCCAGGCTTCACCGCACCCGGCGACCCCCCTTGAACCTCTGCCACTACCGCTGCTCGCCCCGTTGCCACTGCTTGCTCTAGTAGTTGCCTCGTGCTGCCCTCCTTTTGCGTCCCGCACAGGACGCTCCTGGGATCGAGGATGTATGTTGCTCTCGACGCCGCCGCCGCTGCTGCTGCCGCTGCCATAACTCGTGGCCACACCCGTGCCTTCAGCGTCTCGACGACCGCCACTCGCTTTCGCTCCCCCTCCCGAAGACACTACGGTTTGTACGACGGTGGCTTCGCCGCCGCCCCCCCTGGCGATGCTGCTGCTCCCGGTTCTTCGGTGTGGTGCCTGGGAATGCCGACGGCGCGGTGCTTTCGACCCCCGTTGTCTGGCAAGGTTCTGAGCCATCGGCGACGCTGCCTGGCGTTCCCCTGAGTACGCCATGGGCGATGCCGGGGGGGCCCATGCCTGCGAATTTCGTGGGGCATGTGCCGTGGCGGACGATCGGTGAAACTACAAAAACAGCGCGTTTCGCGAGCGTTTGTAAATGATGATTCTCGGCCCCGTATGCTCCTCGCGGCAGCGCCGCAATTGATCGCGGGGGGTAGATATGTGTCCGCCTGTTTATTAATGCGGGGGCCCTTCCATGCTGCTCTTTTGGGTGACTGTCTATGTGTATGTGTATAGACAACTGGGTATATTTCGATCAATTGGAGCAACCCAGCCATATCCTTCGAAGTATTGTAGTTCCAACGAAACGTCGCGCCTTGACAATATGTCCCAATACTTTGACGTGCGCACGACGCTTGGTCTCATCTGTGCTTAGGATGCATGGCAACGGGAATAGTTCCATATGATCGGGTCTAGGGCGGGTAGGGCATTGTTACGGTAGGCCACATCGTGTCAAGCACGTTAGCACCTCTGGAAAACTCTACGAGTTTCGTGCTCGCCTGGGCAAACAAACTTTGAAAGGGGCCTCAACGTAGGATGTACAGTAGCGTGAAAAATGAATCGTACATACTCTCGGCGGTAGTTGACAAAAAGATACATAGAAGCACGATGAGGGTGTTACCGGACAGTACCCTAGGGTAGTTTAAATCTGAGCTTCCACTCCGGCAAGTTTGTGTTCGCAAATGCAAGCTATTCTCATGAATTCAACTGGGACGAGGATGCTGCTGTTCCAGGGGTAACGAGTGCATGCATGCGTGTGTGATGCTGTCAGTGTACGGTAGTAGAGCCAACAGCCTGTGCGTGGTGCATACGGGTCCTAATGCCATCCTGTCTCCTGTACGGTGTGGGGGTATCCGCAAGTTCACGTCCGACCGATACCTCACCCTGGTAGTAGTATGTATCATCGAGCTGCCAGCAGACAGGAGTCCCCACGACCTGCCTGCATCCATGGAAGAAGCAACGGCTAGCATACCGTCAATTTACTCGGTGCCGCGAAGGTCCACCTGCTGTGTCAGTGATCGCGAGCGGTCTGCATGGTCACAGCATCAACAGAAAAAAATGGCGGGGAACAAAACGACGTTAGAGCGGTGGAACCCGGTAGTCACAGTGGTTCACCTTCGTCCCAGGGAATGAACGCCACGTGACAAGCAGCGTGTTCACTACGCGGGTATGCCCGCAATCTCTACGCCGGTCCTCCCGCAGTCTACAGATACACAGCAAGCAGTAGTTTACGCCCCAATCGTCGCGGACAGATGATTGCCAGATCACAGACAACCAAAGTTGACACAACCAGGTGCCACCGTGTTTGGTCCTGAAAGCTTCCTGCAAGACGTCACATAATTGGCGTGTGTGCTTTATGTGCATGTTCCGAAAGAATCGGCACAATGTCTACACACTTCAATACGAAGAACACCTTCTCAACGCACATTCATTCTTCGACGACGATCCCGTTCGTCCGTATCTCGCGTCTGGCTGATCTGTGCAACGCGATGACCGCCCACTTCCTCACACATGCGTGGCAACGGCTGGGGTACAGTGCTCTGCTCCCCTTGTATTGAAAATCCTTGGTTTGTATGTACGCCGTCTTGGACGTTTGGGCGGGGGTCGAAAGAGTACAAGTTACGGCGCTCCACGACGAGTCAGTAGCGACCAGGAGGCGTAGCGGTTTCGCGTATGTCGGAGATAGATGCGGATTTCCAGATACTGAGGCGGGCAGTTGTATAAAAAAAAAATACAAGGGCGGAAGAGAGCCATCCCAATGCCGCCGTTCCCCAGCTGTTTGAAGAAGGAGCGAGACCACGCCAATAGCTGGATAGAGGGGACAGCAGTAGTACCAGACAGCCCTAGCGTTTTGAGAGGTGGGTTGTGCCCGTTTTGTGACTCTGACACGCTGGACACGCAGGTCATCTCTGTGTCACACGACCCGCTCTTCAGGAGAGCTGGAAAAATGGCAAGTGTCATCGCGGGAAGTAGCAGCAGCAGCATTGATGTTACAGCGGGCGGCAGGGCTTTGCGGGCGGCGGGCGAGATTGGCATCGCGTTGGTAGAACTCCAGCGACATCTGGACGAGGTAAGTTAGAAACCAAAGTAATCGGTGGCTGGGGTTGTTACTGTTTCAGGTGCCACATCTGCTGCGTCGAGGTGAACGAAAAGAGGGAAAAAAGGCCGCGTTCCGATTTTTACCGGAGTTTGGGTCCGAAGCCCGGACCTGTTCATACCATAAGGCCACCTCCCTGCTGTGATTTGAATGCTCGTGATGTACTTGCGTGATGGGGGAGGAGGGAGGACCCTGGCCACCAGCGTTTGTGCGCCCAGCAAGCACAGCGTGTCTCTGCCAGCAGTCAGTATAGCCCTCTATGATGATCCCGCAGGAACAGGAACGCGGCATTCAACACTCCGCCCGATCTCAAGTCTGTGCGGTTGAACATCGCGAACAAAGGGTAGGGTGGCATGAGGAGGCGTAAATAGTAAATAGTGGCGTGGCAGCTTGTTTTTGTGGTTCCCACAGAGCAACTTGTTTCCGTTTTGCAGCTGCCTGTGTTTCAGTTGGTGGGCTAACCCTTACCGTAACCCTTACCGTTTTGGTCACCCTTACCGTTTTGGTCAAGAGTTCGTGTACGCACATACGTACCCCAAGCAGGCTCTATCGTCGTCTCCCCCGCATTTTTTTGTGGAATACTGCTCGACGCATTGTAAATATCCCACCTTTTCCCGTCACTTCTCAAAGTCCACTGGCTGTGTACTTACCTATAGAGATGCATTTGCATATCTGCCTTGTTCCTCTCCCAAAGGACAGGCTCCAATTCCAGGCCCATGGAGAATAATTCCGCTGCGGTACTTGCCTTCCTTACTACAGCAGTAATTGTGGCGAAGATAGCAGTCCTCTTTTTCGTCAACAAACTGTTCCGTAAATTTCAACGCTGACATCTATGTAAGATCTTGAGCGCAGCGGATGTGATTGAGCCTACTTTTTCTTCCCATTGTATACAATGCATATGGAGAACAAAAAGTTCGGTATCATCGCCGGGCCTTGATTCCTTCAATAATACGAACCTTTGGATCTCTGCAGCTAGTCACATTATACAATAGGTGTTACTGCTGTAGTTGGTTGGTGCGCACCAGGAATCTTTGTTGTCCACACACGGGAGGAGCGGTTTTACCCCGGTGAACAAACGTGCGCCGATTTCCTTGAGAACACCCCGCTTAGTTCCTACGAAAGCTACGTACCATTATTCCATTCAAGGAATTTGTATTTTCCAACACGGCGGTTCTTCATGATGCCAATCAAGTGTCCATGTGTTCGTATGTGTGGCCCTCATGCACAAGAGTTTCGGGGATCTGGGGGTTTTGTGGGAGGGTGTAGCTGGGCCAGCTGGAGACAGAGAGACAGACAGCAAGACAGAGACAGACAGCAAACAGAGAGACACACATTTGATTACATTTGATTATAGACGCAAGATATAAAGATCAAGTAACCAATCAAATCGAGCGATGCAACACTACAATACAGCAGTACCCACGTCCGTGTTCTTGTGTGTTGCCGTTGTTACGTGCCTGACTATTTTTTACAGCACGAACTGGACCAACATTCCCTCCCCTCAAAGGCCCAAACCAAACCAAAACCCCAATTCGCCCTCCAAAGTGGAGCTTACCCTCAACGTCAATCCTACCCTGTTTCGTAACAGGTGCCCAGCACGGTGCTTTGAATCGGCGTATACATGTGGTAGCATTTCCTACATCAGCGATGCAATTCGGTTGCCTTTGTGGCGCTTAGAGTTCCACACCACGGTGGGAGGCACCAAGGAGCAGTGAACAGCAAGCACTCTTGCAATATACAAGGAGTAGGTTGCGATCCGCATCCAGCACGATTCTCGCATGACGAACCCCCGCGAGGGACGGCGCTCTGCATACATGGTATCCGCCCCTCTCTCCTGAAGGAAAGTGTGCCGTCCCTTTCAGCATCCGACCTGGTCGTTGGCTGCTTCTTTTTTCGTGACGCAAACCAGGAGGTTGCCAAGGCCACGCCGGCGTCGGCGTCGGCGCCGGCGCCGGCGCCAGGTGAGACGGTCGAAGCCCCTGCGCAAGCCACGGAGGTGATCAAGGGGGACCCACTGCTGCATGCTCTCGTCCGCTGTAGCCGCCAGCTGACCAAGCTGAGACATTCGCTGCTCGCACAGGTGAGAAATGAGAAGATGGGACGTATGATATTGCGCCGTACTTTCCGCAGTTTTCGTGTTGTTTACCTTTTCCTTGTTCGACCGTTACTATCCTCTCGCACCAGCTTCTCCGAAATGCCTCCACCGTTACAACTGTTGACGGCCTCCCAGTATCTGCCAGTTTTATTCTCACCTCAGGTATGCCCAGCGATCTCCCCCTCGCGTTCAGGGGGCGGGAAAGTTGTCGTTTGTTTCGCCCCGACTACATCTCTCTTTCTCTCTCTCTGTCCGAGGTCTCCCCCTTGGACAGTGTGTTGGACAGGCACGTGGCGGTTTAGGCATCATGCGGAACAGGTAGCTTGTGCATGCACGTATTTATGTGAGCATGGGTTCAAAGTATGCATACGTAACAAGGACAGCTAGAATGCGAATCGCAGATTCTCTCCAGGTACATCGGGCCCGTACTTTTCTCGAAACGCCGGTGACAACAAGCAGGCATCCTCTATGTGCTCGTTGTTAATGTGTCCCTTGACCGCATGCTCTGTTGTCAGAACCCCCTCTCACATGCGAGGTGCTTCCTCGCCGCAAACAAGCTTGACGAGCACGATCCACGGTGCCGCAGCGATATTCTAACCGTCACAAGAATTTTCCCCATTAAATTCACCAACTACTACTGTTTCCCACCTTTGTTTCTCATGGAAAAATACCAACTATTGGCGCTTTCTTGGTCTCTAACGGAAAACATATCATGTGGTTTGTTGTTCGTCTCGAATTCAGGCGCACGGGCCCCATGAATCGTTGCAGCACAGGGGGCGGCCCGTGGCGGTCACGAACGACGGGCGGAAGGCGCAGTCCACTCTTCTGCATGCGCAGCAAATCGCCGACGACATGTATCACGGATCGCTGGTGAGGTTTATGAATATTTTTCTTCACCGCCGGCGGCGGAGGCGTTATGCCATGTCGCACCGGAAGTCCGTGTACATTACGTCGTGTTCGGCGTAGTAGTCGTTCCGTGAAGTGGCCATGCACTGGCGCAAGCGCAGTGGCAGAGGCTGGGGGTGTCACCTGACGACGGCATTGTGATCACCCAAGACTCGCCGTTATTGTCTTCCGTAGAATATTCGGGACTCGGGTACGCCCTTTGGGGCGCTTCTGTCCGTCAGAAGGTGATGCCCTAGAACCTCACGTACTTGACGGTGCAGGAGAAGCTCGCGAAGCAGTGATTCACGTTGACTCCGTTCTGTTACAAATTGACGTCGGACGCGTAAGTCAGATACTGGGTGGGTTTACACCGAACATCGCAAACATATAATAGAAGAGCTCCTTCGGCAGCACCTGTCTTACTGGAGTTCTCGGCGGGAGAATGGTTGAGCAGTTCTTCCGTCAAGCGCACTCACGAAAGATGCACGTTTTCGTTTCAGCAATACTCGATACGACGACGCTTGTAGCGGGGTCGCTGACTTGGCCCGGAATAGGACAATCCCCATCAAGCCAAACAGGGGACGGACCACATAAACCACCGGGGCTGTTTGGTCGTCCCGCTATTGGTCCTGACGAGTTGAAGGTCTCTGGGCATAGTCCCTTGAATGCGGGTTCTTGGAAAATGTCGTGCATCGTGTCAACCAGAGGTGTGCGCCCTTTCAGCCTTGACACCAGTATCGTAGTAGGTGGAAACAACATCGGTAGAGAATCGTACCTCTCTTGTGTGTCTCTCAGCCTGGAAAGCGCATCCAGTATTGGTGGTGGCGGGATTCCCTCTCACTAGATCGAAGAAGTCGCCTCCCAATCTCCCACACCTGTTTCTCTGATGACCCGATGAGTGCCCTCCCGCCGCCCTTGATATGGGTTGGCGTTCCTAGCTTTTCTGACAGTGCTGCTACCCCCCCCCCCCCCCCCCCCCGGTGTTTGCCATCCGGGGTTGGGTTTTCGTCGCTTGGCAACGACGTTGTAAAACAAGCCGCCCCCCCCGGTGTTTGCCATCGGGGTTGGGTTTCCGTCGCTTGGCAACGACGTTGTAAACAAGCCAATTCACTTCGTGAACTCGGCAACCAGGTTACCGTTTTTTTTTTTACCTCTGTTTTTTTTATTTGGCGGTAACCATAGTGGTGGTCGAGTAGATCATGTTGTGCGGGGTGGAGAAACCTCACTCCGCGCAAGGGGGATGATCGCACCACGTTGTGTTAAAATGGTCATGCATCCTCGAGGCAGCTACACAGTGCTTATAACTGTCTCTGGAAGTGAACGCACCAGAAACTAAATTAAGTCATACGCAGCTGTCATCCGTACGCAGGAAGTAAGCACAAGATGCCGAACACCCTTACCAGGATGCAGCTCACCCTTCATGCGACTCACCGAATACCTCACGGTGCTTCGCGCTTGGTGATGTGAGAGCCTGGTCCGGTGAGAACCCGGCGTGCTCCGTCCCGGCTTTGTAGGGATGCGAGGTCAATGGTCAAACGACTACGGCATGCACGACGACTATGAGTACCCCCCCCCCCCCCCCCCCCCCCCCCC